ATGTTTCTATCTCTCTTTCCCTCTCCCTTCCTCTTTGAAATAAATAAATATATATTTAAGAAAAAATTGGGGGAGGGGGGCACCCTGGCTGGTGTGGCTCAGTGGTTGAGCATCGACCTATGAACCAGGTCATGGTTTGAGTCCCAGTCAGGGCACATGCCTGGGTTGTGGGCTCAATCCCTGGTGTGGGATGTGCAGGAGGCAGCCTACCAATGATTCTCTCTCATCATTGATGTTTCTATCTCTCCCTCTCCCTTCCCCCCTGAAATCAATAAAAATATATTTTTTAAAATGAAAAACAAAAACAGGGTCGGGGGTCAGGCTAGATGGGGTCAATGAGGGAGAAAGGGAACATATGTAATACTTTCAACAGCAGAGATTTTAAAAAACATGGGGGACAGGAAGGGAGTTTGGGGAGGGAGAACTGTCAGACTATAATGCAGACCTGACAAAGTCTCTGCCAGCCTGATGGGAAGTTCCTGAGAAAAATTGTTCATTAGAGTCCCAACTTCCAAGGGAATGACTAGGCCCCTGTATCACCCACCACCTCGCTCAGTCATTGGCCTGGGGCTGGTGAAGAGCAGGACAGCTGGAGTAACCATTTCATTCTTGAAGGAACACCTCTAAAACAGCACATCTCTGTATCTGCCAAAGGAGACTCGGTGTATCTTGTGTAGGTTCTTTAGTAACTGTATTGGTCCTTAGTTTGTTGTATGGATTTTAAAGTGGTTATTAAGATAGCTGAATTCAAGAGAATTATACACCCCCTCACCCTTCTCCATCTTTGCATTGAGTTAGTTATTTCCCTCTGGGAACCTACAGGCCATTGTTTGTGTCTATCAAAGTATTTATTACCACCATGTAAAAATGTTTACATTTTTCTCTTCCTAGACTGCACTCTTAGGGGCAGAATTGTGTCATATTTATTTACTTTTGTATCTACTCAACACTTGGCCTCTGAAAGAAAATAAATCCTCATAAATTAACTGAATGAATGAATGAATGAATAAGCAAAGAAGCTGCCTCTCACTCCTAATAGTAATGCTCTTTATCCATCCAGTTTGAACTGGATCCACTATTATTTCATGTATAGTGTTTGGCAAGCTGCATTTATTTACATACTCATTCCAGCAGGTTAGAATTAATTCACCTTCCAAAAAGATGGCCAAATGAAGTGATTAAGAGTGAGAAATGCAACCTGGCCAGTGTGGCTTAGTTGATTGGCCATCTTCTGATGCATCTTCCCATGGTTGCTGGTTGCTGGTTCAATTTCCAGTCAAGGGCACATGCCTGGGTTGCGAACTGGATCCCTGGTCAGGGCATGTGCGGGAGGTAACCAATGGATGTTTCTCTCTCATCTCTCTCTCTCTCTCTCTCTCTCTCTCCCCCTCCCATTCTTTTTCTCTAAAAATATCAATGAAAACCATATATGAAATGGTGGGGCTTGGAGGCTGCAATAAGGGAGACTAAAGGCTCCAGAAGAGAAATTTAAGGTGAAAAGAGAAAAGAAAAAGAAATAAAAGCTGTCAGGTAAGAGAGGTCAATGAAAGAAGAAAACGCAGCACAGGTAGGAAAAAGAATGAAAAGGAGACAGAAAGAGGGCAATGGGGAGTCAGGCTCAGTGCTGACCTGCCCCAGGAAGTATCATCAGCAGTAGCCTCATTGACAGCTGTTATCATAATGAGAACTGGCATCTAAAGAGAGGGCAAGTCTAGTTTAATTAGTTAGGTGGCATTATCTATGTCCAATAGGGGTAGGGGAGGTAAAGAAAATAGAAGGACTGGTGACCCATCTCCTTCCACAGGCTGAAAGGAAAAACAGATTTATAAAGCTTTGCCAGGAATTAAAGAGACAGGAGCTGTTTCTTCCCTGAATTGAGTTCACAAGATTCCTATTAGTACCTTTTAAAGGAATCTGTACTGTTCTGGTGGGGGCAACTAGAATCAAACATCGTTCTTTACCTTTTATCAAGCCAAAATAGGTTTACACACTCCCTCCCTTCTGTCTTCCAGACTTATACCAGGAGTCCTTAATGTTGTAGCAGGAAGCCAGCACCGAGGGACTTCGGGCAAATCATTTTACAGTTCCATCTCTTTAGCACTAAGATTCAGTGATATTGTAGTCACAAAAAAACTTCTGGAGCATCTTCTTTTTAAAATTTTTTTGTTAATCCTCACCCAAGGACATTTTTTCCATTGATTTTTTAGAGTGGAAGGAAGGGGGAGAGACAGAAGCATCAATGTGAGACACATTGATTGGTTACCTCCCCCACCTGTCCCCACCACCCCTTATCTTCTCTTTATGAAACCAAGGTTGCAGAATTAAATATGAACCTTACCATGTTGTAAAGAAACAAAGTATAAAAAAAAGTGTATATATGTGTGTGTGTGTGTGTGTGTGTGTGTGTGTAACACACACACACACACACACACACATATACTAGAGGCCCAGTGCATAAAATTTGTGCATGGGTAGGGTCCCTAGGCCTGGCTGGTGATCAGGGCCGACTGGGGACTTCTGGCTGCCAGCCGGGGCCTTCCTTCGTTCTGTGCGGCCCCCTGGTGATCAGCGCACATCATAGGGAGCGTTCGAACTCCTGGTTGAGCTCCCAAGGGGACACTTTGTATATTAGCCTATAGATATGCTCTTCATTTCATGCTTCCACCCCCAATGTACTTCCTCTGCTAAGAATCCTTCTTTAGTCTGGCTGGCATGGCTCAGTGGTTGAGCGTCGACCTGACCTATGAACCAGGTCCCGGTCCCATTCCTGGTCATGGCACATGCCTGGGTTGTTGGCTCAATCTCCGGTGTGGGGCATGTGATTCCCAGTGTGGAGTGTGCAGAAGGCAGTGGATCAATGATTCTCTCTCATCATTGATATTTCTATTTTCTCTCCCTCTCCCTTCCCCTCTGAAATAAAAAAAAAAAAAAGAATCCTCCTTTATCTTGTTGGCAGAAATTATTAGGGTTGAATTATTTTTTCTTTTTCTTTCTGTTTATAATATCTGACCTCAAGGATCATAAAGATTAATTCATCTTGGTTCTGCAAATTAATTGATGCCAGCCAGGCTGGCCTGGAGTTCAGGAAAGACTGATAAACAGCTTCCAACCTTTAAAGAAAACAAACACCTCCACAAAATGAAACATAAAAGCCTGGTGGTAGAAGGTTTTAGGCAAAGAGAAAACCTGCAGAACCTTCTGAGAACACAGAGTTCACTTCCACAGGGAAATTACATCCACTGGAGACTGCTTTAAGACAAGGCTGCATAAATTAAATATTTTAACACCATATGCTCAGCTTTTGGCAGGGAAGGGAATCTCAATGTTAGGAAATGCCATATCACACCCCAGCTGGCTATTTAGTCATGAAATAAGGAGAAACACACAAATATTTGGTTAAAACACCTTTAATGAAAAGGGAAAGACACTAACATCTCCCTTGTCTGCTCTTCACATTTTTCTATGTTAGGAAGCTCTGGAGCCTACATCTTCAGAGGAGAAACCATCATTCAAGTCAGTCACTAGCAGAACCAACACTTTCTCCTCCTCAGAACTGTTCCAAATGATCCTATGTTAAGAGTAAATACTACATCTCATTATAAGACGGAGAGGCAGGGAGGACACCATCTGGAGCTCAACTCCCAAAGTCTGGGACTCTAAGAACCAGATAGTAGCAAAGACATAAGCCCCAGTCCATGGACAGGCAAAATGGGGAGGAAATGGGCCTTGAGAGAGAAAGATGATGAAAATACAAGGGCCAGGGAATAAAGGAGGGAGTAATCTAAAACTAGAAGCACACTAGTGCTAGGAACTCTCCCATGATCCATGGTGCACTGCTGCACACTAAGTCACTATTAGTCCAAAAGAACATTCATGAGATCCATCCAATCAAGAATTCGAGGTCCACTCCCTTATATCATGTCCCTTTCTTAATCACACAGGTTCCCACTAAAGCCCTGTAGTGAGCAACACTCCTCAACTCCCCATTACTTCTTCAACTATCCTCATCAACAGTGCTTATTAAAGATATGAACTAACTTCACATTTCCTAAAATATTCCAGGGGAGACATCTTGGCAAGAAATTCACTTGTTTCCTAACTTGGAGAGGCAATGATGAAGGAACACAAGAAGCTGGAGATGTCTGGGCATATCGACCTTTGCCTTAATGAGATTATCAAGGAGCTTACTGGCAAGAGTATGCCCTTTATTTCTCCCTACCCTCTAGGGCTGAGCCACAGATACAGATATTGCTGCACCTTCATTGCTAGCACCTTTTGGAGCAGGGGGAAGGAATGCAGTTTGCTACTTCTCTTCTATGATAAGCTGTTCAGGCACTGCCTTGGATGCAGGAGGCTGAAATAAGAAGAGGAGGGCTCTTTTCTCTTTAGCCTCTCTGAATCCTGTTGCTGGAGGCATGTCCCCAGCCACAGCTCTTGGACCAAATAGCACTGGTGGTGCTGAAGTGGTAGTGGTAGTGGAAGTGGATTTGGAACTCCCAGGCTTGGGTGGGCAGGTCACTGGACAGGAAAGCCATGCTCTAGTTCCAGAAAGACAGGAGGCCCACCCTCACCAGCTGGGCAGGAATGTCTTGGGAGAAGAAGCCCTGCAGGTTGACCTGGTCACCAGAGAGGAGTGGCACTGAGCCCTCCAGGGACAGCTACTGGTCCCTTTGGGCTGGGCTGCAATTCCAAATGTGGGTGCTCAGGTGCACCTGCCAAAGGGAAAGGGAGTGGAAGAGAGGGGAGGGGAGAAGGGTCACCCCAGGGAAGCTGGGAAGGGTTTCCCTTGGGAATGTGAAAGCTGTAGAGAATCTATTTCCCTCAGGTACAATGAATGGAGAAGAAAAATTCCTCAGGGGGGTCATCCTCCTGTGAGCATGATTTCCAAGCTCGGGGACTAGAGAAAAACCACTTGGGACATACTATGTAAGAAATTAGAGAAAAAGACAAATGAAGCCTCTTAAATCTCAGAGGTCCTTCTACAGAGCTCTCAGTTTCTGCAAACTAGGTCAAAGGGTAGCAGGTACAAAAAAAAAAAAAGGCTCATGGGATTGTAGGGTCATCTTTTCTGGGGAAGGGGGAGAGCCCTGGGGAAGTGATGGAGGGAGAACAGCCTGGGACCAAGGAAAGAGCAGCAATATTCTGAGGGCCATGAGGGGCAAAGGGCTGTACCTGGTGGTGAGCCAGCAGCATATGCTTCTTGAGGGTAGCCCGCTCGAGAAAGCCCTGCCTGCAGAAAATACAAGTGAGGAGTGGCCCCTCCTTGGGGTGGGTCTTCTGATGCTCCTCCAGGGCTGCCTGAGTGGGAAAGGTCTGGCCACACACCTCACAGGCCTTTCTGCTACTGCTCTCTCCTGGCTCCTTTCTCAGCATTTCCTGCATGCTCAGCTCCTCCACCAACGTGGTGCTACTGCCTTCCCCTTCGAGGGCGAGTGCTGCCTTCGGGCTTGAGCTCCTCTCTGGTTTGCCCGCCTCTTCGGTGACTTCTGCAACCTCACTGCCTCCCTGCTCCCTCGGCTGTGTTTGATCCAGGCTGTCTGATGGTGGTGGCGGTGGCAGCGAAGGAGGTTGAATTGCTTTCTCACTGCTGTCCATCTCCTTCCCAGCTGTGGCTGCTGCCACCACCATCCCCACTTCCTCCTCTGCTCCAGATGCCTCTTCAGAATCACCTCGCACTGATATTGCTTTCTCACCTCCACTCTCTGAGCCTCTTCCTGCCAGAGAATCTTCATCAGTCACATCTTCCTCTTCTTCCTCATCCTCTTCCTCCTCTTCAGACAACTCCTCTTCTGGGGATGGCTGCTGAGATGGTTGCTGGGGGAAGCTCCCTGCCCCAGAGACTGTAGATTGCTCAGAGCCATTCTCTTGGGCAGCTCCCCCACCTTCAGGGAGCGGGTTGCTACCATTGGGGATTTGGCCCCCCAGGTGCATCCGAACATGCTGCTGCAGAGAAACTGCATTGGTGAACTTCTTCTGGCAGATGGGGCAGGAATTCTGGGCCCGAGCAGCTGGACTGGCCTTGTGGCCCACGAAATGTGCACGCAGATTGCCCCGGGTGGAAAAAGCTCTGCCACACACTTTGCATTTGAAGGGCCTCTCACCTCCATGTTGACCATAATGCAGGCGCAGTGCTCGAGGACAGCTCAGCACCCGGAGGCAGATGACGCACTGGTTAGGTCCGGATGAAGCTGAAGATGAAGCTGCAGGGGCAGAGGTGGTGGCGGCTCCTGAGGCGGTAGAGGCCACTGCTACGGCTCCCTGTCGGTCAATCTTTTCTACCAGCTGCTGCAGCTTCGACGTCTCAGAGGGTGAGGCCCCCAAGGGCTCGAGCACATAGGGGAAGGGGAAGCTCCCCGTGGACTTAAAGTGGTTGGTAAGCAGTGCCCAGCTGGGAAGTGAAGTCACCAACTTACTTAGCTGCATGCGAGTTGCTGTGCCACTTTCTGTCACCCCTGCAATGGCGGAGGCCTCAGTCCCTGGAGGAGTATTCTCATCAGCTTTACTCTTTGGCTCTACCGCTTTCATGAGCACAAACTTATTGAAAGCAGGGAGTGCAGGAGCCGCAGCTGTGCCTGCTCCGGTGGAGAGCAGCGTCAGGCTCTCCGTGGCACTGAGTGCTGTGGTAGAGGCCACCAGAGGCTTGCGTTCCACACCTCCACCTGGCATGGCTGCCTCCTCCTCGGCCTTCTCTGGTGGCACAGACATACCGTAGGGCAGGCCGCTGCTGGTGATGACGTAGTCCAGGTGCTCTGGCACTGGGTGAGGGTTCATCTGCACGTGCGGGTACTTCTCACGATGCCGGTGAAAATGCACTTTGAGGTTGCCCCGGGTGGTAAAGCGGTTGCCACAGACATTACACTTATAGGGCCTCTCACCTGTGTGTGAGCGCAGGTGGATCTGCAGGGCACTGTCACTGCCAAATACTTTGGCACAAAAGCGGCATTTGTGCCGTCCACCAGGCTTCTCCAAGGGACCCATCACTTCCCCGTAGCCCAGCTCACCACTTCCGTTCTTTGGCTTCAGGAGCCCTGGGGAGGCGGTGGCCTCCAGGCCTCGGGCTGCCCCAAGACACTGTGCTGCCAGTAATCCCGTGGTGCCTGGGAATGCCAGATGAGGCGAGGCAATCAGCTGATCTGTGCTGCCTGGCAGGGCTGGGGAGGGGGCAGGTGGGGGTTTGTGGCTTCGCCCAACCCCTCCAGCAGAAAAAGGGTGCTGTGACCCCAGCGGATGGTAAAGGTGGAAGAAAGCCTGTTTGGGCGTTTCTGCCCCTGAGGAGGAGGAGGTGGAGGAGGAAGATGCCAGTGTCTTGCTAGTTTGGACAGGCTTGATGGGGCTGAAGAGTGGAAGCAGGGGCTTGGTGGAGGTGGCAGTCCCTGTCCCAGGTAACTCTGAGGGACTGCCAGGGGCGCCCACCGTCTGGCCTAGGGAGCCGAGCAGGAGTACCTGCCTGCAGATCTGCTCGGTCATCTGCATCTGGTGGATCTGGCGCTGCTGCAGCACTCGCAGCTCCTCCAGGATCAGAGGGATATTCAAGTGGCCACTGCCCACGCCTGGGGGCTGCGGTGGGGGCGGTGGAGGCGGAGGAGGCGGCGCAGGGGTGGACTCTGGAGGTAATGGGGTTGCTCCCAGCTTGGGACTGGCCAGGATCAGGCCTCCTCCTCCCCCCGCTGCTGTACCTGTGCCAGCGACTAGGAAATGCCCTGCAGACTCCTCTCCTCTCCGCTCTGCCCCCCAGGTGGGATCGGTGGGCACAGAGGACCCAGGATCCGGGGGGTTGCTGTGCTCCACCTCCATGACCTGGGGACTATTGTGGCCCTCAGGCCGGGGTTCAGAAGAGTTGTTGGGGTTCTCCTGGCCTCCGATGATCACCATTACAGGGGGTTCAGTAGAACATGCATTCTGGTGAGCGAGGAATTCAGTCGGGTTAGTGAATTGTGCGCAGCACTTGGCACAGACTTGGGGGTGGTCCTCCTCGCTAGCATCACCTGGGAAGAAGAGGAGAAAGCGTGGGTGGTGCGGTCGGAATGGCTATCCGGAGGTTCTAATTAACTATGAGCCCAGTAACTGCTGGTTGGGGGAGGGGAGATGAGCTCACCATCAGGCCAGGCAGAAGGCTAGAGCTCAGTCCTGACCCTCCTGGACACGAGAACCCCAGCAGGGGGTGGGGTGGGGGAACACGCAAGCTAGTGCCCTGCTGGGTCGTCCCCCCACCCACCCACCACCAACCCCGGGCCACCAGCGGCCCCATGGAATAGGTGTGGGACACGGACGAGCGTCTATGCAGATAACCGTGCATTTGATCCCGTCCACCGAAAGTCCTCCCCTCCCCCCCGCGTGTCCCCTCCGCCCCCACCCGTGCCCAGTCCGGACCCTACCGCACCTCCGGGCTCCGCCGGCTCCCCGCAGGGCCCCCTGAGAAGGGAGCTTCTCCCGGCTTCGTGCGCCATGGTTGTGGGGGAGGTGGAGGGCTGGGTGGAGTGGGAGACAATGGGGATGGGGATTGGGGGAGGTGGCGGTGGCCACCG